CATTAGTTCGTTCCATCTTGCTTAACTGAACACAGCCCTGTGTTCAGTTAAGCAAGATGGAACGAACCAATGCAGGAAATGCAGGAAATGCAGGAAATACAGGAATTGAAATGCAGGAATAGCAGGAAGTGAAAGAATTTAAGAAAGTGAAAAAGAAGAAAAGAGAAGGTGGCTCCCCAATCTGTTGCGGAGATGTGCAGTACCAGAAGCAGACAACTGTTATCTGTTGATAACAGATCTGCTGAACAGATTTGAATTGGTATCGTAACCAAAACAATTATTCAAGTTTCCATTCCGTTTATTTGTAAGAAAACTAAACTAAAACTAAACATGGAAATGGAATCGAACACAAGAAAGCGCTCATCGTGGCGGAAGATGGTGCGATCTATAAAGTAACTTGCGAAAGTTACGAGGAAAAGAGACAATTATACATAGGTGAGTGCTTTCTAAATCATCCTTATTCTTGTGGATTGTTTGTTTCTCGGCTTGCTTATAATCTTCAAGATCTTTTATTTTCTCTTTCAGACAAGATTTAGGTTGTGTCCAGTTAAGCAAGAGGGAACAAACGAACGCAGGAAATACAGGAATTGAAATGCAGGAACAACAGGAATTGAAAGAAATTGAGAAAGTGCAAAAGAAGAAATGAGAAGGTGGCTCCCCGATTTGTTACGAATCATGCGCAGTACCAGACAGTTGACTGTACTTCCTCGACTTCTTTCAATTCCTGCTATTCCTGCATTTCAATTTCTGTATTTCCTGCATTCCCTGCGTTTGTTCGTTCTCTCTTGCTTAACTGGACACAGCCTAAAATTCACGCGTATACAAAAACTCGAACGTCATGCAAAAATAACGAGGAAAATTCAGTGATTCGGGATAAAGATAAAGAAAAATGTATAACGAAATGTGTTGCAACCAAACTCCGCCTTTAGTTGAAATCGACTTCTTCCACGTGTATGATGTACATGTTATGTTATATGTGTTGCGCGGGAAACGAACACTCCCACTACACGCAATACGCGCGTCGTGATTTACATGCGGTCTTGGAACATCGAAGGCTCTTCATAAAAGATTAGTATTACGGATACTTCGAAACAGATTGTGTCGAGTCTAGTTCCACTCGAGCCTAGTTTGCAGACAGTTTCTAACACATATCAAACATATTTGTCATCATACGTGATTTAAAAGGTAAGAGGCAAAAGAACTATCTGTGTGTGATTTTTGTTTTAGTAGAAGCAATAAATAATAATGAAGAGAAAATGAGAAAAAATTAAGGGAATTATTTAGATTAGGGACTTAATCTCCGATTTTAATGAGCTTGAAATATGTTGTTAGGGATGTGATTCTGAACAACTTTTCCCTATACATGTTACCGCCGCTCGGCTTTAGTTTTCGAGTTATAAACAAAAGAAGGTTTATTATTATTATTACGATTATCTCGGAAAGTAATTACGTTATGGGAAAAGTTTTCAAACAAAACCTGTAGGAAATTCGATTTTCTATAAAAAAAAGGTTATAATATTCATTTACCTAACTCCAACCGTTTTCATGGTAGAACGTTAAATCCATTGCATTTACGTATATATTACAATGCGCATGTGATGCGTGACAACCACAATCAAACTCGAGTTGAAACAAACGCATGTTTAGATTGATTGTTGCACAAAATTATTTTTAAGCGTGTAAGCAGGGGGGGCTGCGACCCTCCTGAACTTTCCCTTAAAAACCTACCCTAACTTTAACCTAAATTCTTTTTTCTGCATTCCCCCTCGAACAATTTCCACAATAGTTAATCTATGTTACTACAATATCAATAGAAATGAATAAAAATTTTGCGAGGGAAAATGCAGAAAGAAGAGTTTAGGTTAGGGTTAGGTTAAATTTTTTAGGATAAGGGTGCAGGGGGACGCAGCCCCCCTGCCTACACGCATACACTTTCTACTACTAAAAGTGATCCATAGATCACTGGGGGGAGCATAGCACCTCCTTGCGGGGAAGAATAGCCCTCCTTGCCTACACACTTACAACACGAAGAAAATGTACATAGAATCGAAAAATAAGAGTTCATTTATAAAACTTTTTTTGTTATTAACTTTTTAACAAACAACAAGCGACGGCTACAATTTTTTGCGTGTCACTCAGGACAATGTCCTTGACAACATATGTGAAGCTCAAGTTGATCGGAGGTGATCCGTTATTGCCAATATTTACCCTAAAAAATAGTAATTATATAACTACATAGTTATTGATGCATAAAGAACTTTTTTCTGGATAATTATTTCCGCAAGCAGACACATTTACACAAAAAACTAATCGTTAACCTAATAATAACCAACATTTAAAAACTCCAAAATTATAAATAGTTTTATTGATTATTTTTGAGAGAATATGTTGAAAAAATGTAAATGTGGAGATAAACATTGAATTTTTACTTATACAAACAAACACTTTATTAGAACTCTATTAGATATTGCGTGAAGCTGTTGACGTCTGATAGAGTTCTTGTTCTGTGTGGGTACCGAAAAATTTTTTTTCGTGTTTTGATTTTTTCCTTCATGACTAGACGATTTGTTTATCAAAAAATTAATTATATCGTTCGAGACGATTTTTAAATGTAACCGGTAAAAATGGTGGACGCGTGCAAATGATATAAAAAACGGATCTGTGTTTATATCGTTTCTCTTTATGACAGCTTTTGTAAAAAAAAAAAAAAACCGGTTATTATCAATAAAATAATGACGTTATTTTTTTGCATAATCATTCAATCTATAACGTCGAAATTCAATGTCAACAACTTTCTCTTTAGTTCCATTTAATGCTATGGTATGTAGCAATTAACTTAAAGCATACGAGTTACATATATATACATATATATATATATATATATATATATATATATATATATATATATTGACTGATCAATGGTTCCGTTAACTAAATAACCATAGTAGATCGCGACTATAATACTTCAAATTTCTGCAAGTTGTATCGAATTGTGATATCTCGGTGGTAGATGTGTCAAAACACAATTAATTTATTAGTAGCGCGATATGTATATTGCACGATCAAAGTACAGCAAGAGATGTGACAAACATTTCTTGTGATTAAATTGATGGTTTGTATCTGAGTTATTGTACGATAAAGTCAAATGACGTAGAGATTGGATATTCTCAATTTATGTGTTTACAAAAAAATGTGAAGTTATTAATACACGTATTTGAGGCCGCGCTCGAGGAACTGTGGCAATTTACTTTCATCTAATACAGTTTTCGCATTTCTTGGATAATCCAGATCTAAATTCTGTATGTGAAAATTATATTCTATATAACAGTGATCGCTTTATTTTATTATCATATTTCAATCATATTTCTTAATCATTAACTGCAATTAATATTTTGAGTAAAACGGCTACGTCGAACCAGGTGCAGGATGGTTCGAGAACCCGAGGTCACTCCTCAAGACATTATTATTAATTGCAATTAATATGTTTTATACATATATATGATTAAATATGACGTAATAGGTATTTATATCAACATCACTGTACGGTCGTTAATTTGTATTTGACAACTTGTAATTACAGTCTGTACATTCAAAAACAGCACGGAATGTATAATTCTCCAATCTTACATAATCACGTGATGTGATACATGATATGTATTTCTCTCGTATTATGTAATCATAAAGAATATTTGCTATTAAATATATACGACGAAAATCACATTGGTAATGAATAATGCGAGTCCACACGGACGGCGGTTCTGGCTTGTGTGCGTATCTCCACCACGTCGGTGTTTTCATAGCACGAAATAGAACCATGTTCACGAAAAGTAATTACATAATTTCTTACGGCCGTGGCCGCTCTCATTCTTCTCTCTGATGTTACTGATACAATTTCATGTGCTATTAAGCATTAAGTGCCAATTGTATATGTAAATACAAGTTTCAATCTTAAAATAGTCTGTTATTATCATATTGATTTTATTTTTCACACTAGTTTCTCAACATATACACTCTAAACTAAATTATTAACTTGTGAGCACAGTAAATGTATTTTATAATATACAGGGTGTCACATGAAGACCGTATCACCGCTCGTAGGTAGATAGAAGGGATTATTCTGAGTCGAAGAGTCCCGAACCATTTTTTTCTATTACGTATGATATAAAGGAGTAATTATTGAATAAAGTAAGCCAATCAGCGCCGACCTTTAGCCGGGCGCACGTCAGTGAGCCGCGCGAAGCGCTCACGCATATCAGGCGCGTGGTTCACGCAACGTGCGTTCGGCTAAAGGTCGGCGCTGATTGGCTTACTTTATTCAATAATTACTCCTTTATCATACGTAATAGAAAAAAATGGTTCAGGACTTTTTGACTCAGAATAATCCCTTCTATCTGCTTACGAGCGGTGATACGGTCTTCATGTGACACCCTGTATATATATGTATAAACATCAGTCTGTCAGTTGCATTCGAAGCGAAAAGACGTTTTGCGTCTTCTTACGTAATACTGATTGATACTTTGCTGTCATTTCCGCCTCTTTATGAATATCTATGTAGCGTTTCTTTTCTTATCCATATTCTTCATGATCTCGAATAAATCATGAATTTTTTTTTTGTAATTTTATGTAATTTTTTATTAAAACACTGAAGAAGATCTCATAGTGGATCGAAACGTTTGTTAACATTTTTTAAAATCTTTGAATTAAAAACGAATTCTACCCAAACATCTGGTGTTAGCTTGTTATTGTCATTTCCCTAATTTTTTTATGTATATATACAACTAACACTGAATTTCAAGAGAAATCTGTGATCTCATCGCAGTATCACCGAATATCAAAAATAAAAATTCATAAATATCCGATTCTCGATTTCAACAATGCTTTCTGTCGATGTATTGTGCTAGCACGTTAGTCTTACATCTGCTACATTTATATCGTTTCACGTTGATTGTTGCAATATTATTTGCATCACGCGTAAAAAATTTATATTCTTTTTTTTCTGCTTTTTAATACTACTTAAAATGCAGTCTATGTTTTGAATGCTGGCGGCATTCTACTGACATAATGTGTTACAGACCTTGCAAAATATATTTAGTCTTGGTTATCTGGGTGAAAATAACAAATAACGATCTCTTATAAATCATAAACTTATGCGTTTCACGGCAACAACCGCGATTTCTTCACTTCCACTTATTCGATGCACTTTGCAGTGTGTATTCAATAAATGCTAATAGTTTGCACTTTGACCGTATCTATACCTAAGAATAACAACAATTCTAATTTATTTTTTAGAAGTGCTTGTGCTTGCGCACAGATACAAAAAAGATTTGAGATGTTCTTTCAATCAAGTTTTTTGTCTGCTTGTCACATTGAAAACATTGTCGAAATATACAAATAGTGAATGTTTTATGATCGAGAAGATGTTTTACAAGATTCAACTTTATATATTCAACTTATATTTTGAGTTTGACGAGATTAGATTGTTTGACGTATCATTTTGTGTTGCTTGACATATAGAATATCTAACGTGTTCGCGTTATGTTATCCGATGTATAATTTGCTTATTTCTGAAAGATATAACTGACGAAATGAATAAATTATAAAACACACATCAGTTTTTATTTTTTAATTTTTATGAAAGAGTTAAGATATTTTCTAATTTTTTTTTCTCATTTAAATTAATATGTAAATTATACAACGCACGTCAATTTTTGTTCTTGAATTTCTTTAAAACAGTAAAGATTTTCTATTTTGTTTCTATTTGTCATTCATATTTCTTTATCATACTGGTTTGTCGATAGTATATGAAAAAAGAAGACAATATTTTATCTATAAAAATTTATTTATTCATAAGTATTTAAATTATATGGTATCTGTAATGTATATGTACATATAATATTTCTGTGAAAAATGTTTTTGTACATATTATTTTTCTGGTTAGGTATCGTTAAACAGCGATTATCTCTTTCTTTCTTTCTCTCTTTCTCTCTCTCAGAAAAGAGTCGTCTGTGTGACAGCACTTAAGTATTTATATGAAAATGTTATTGAATTACAAATTATTAGAAAAAAAAAGAATAAAATATAACAAGAAATATATAAGGCCTTACGAGCCATTCGCAGGATGTTTGAGCGGAAACTGTGCGTGTATATATATATATATATATATATATATATACACATGTAACAAATTCAACTTCTAAATTTTGGCTCGTAAGGCCTTATATATTTCTTGTTATTAATTTCAACGAGCCTTAAGTCATAATTGTTTAGAATAAAATATATTTCTTTTAAATTAAAACAAAAACAAAAAGAAATCGAAAAAAAATAATTATTAGTTATTTATTAGTGATTATTTCTAAATAAACTCTGCAAGTCATCATACAATTGTCACCAATAGACTAAACATAATAAGAAATTATTTTGTGATTAACGTCTATCTTCCCTCAGGACGATAAGCTCTTTGATTGCGCTTTTGTTTATTTAGTCTTATTAAGCCGTTATTCTTACTATTAATAATAAGAAGTATTTTATATTTTTTAAACAATATAAGAAAGCATAAAAGTTATTTCTACGATAAGTAAAATCACTATCACTTTGTTACAATCAAGTTATTTCTACGATAAGTATAATCACTATCAATTTGTTATAATCACTTCATTCTTTGTGATTCAATTGTCACCGTTTGAAGATCTCTTCTTCTTGTCATCGTGTGTGATGTATGTGCGCGATACATTTATTACAACACAAATTTAATGCAAAACTATAAATCATATATGAATATAAACTTTGATCGCAGAGAGGAGATGAATCAATCGACGCGATATGCAGCCGCTAGTGAAACTGGACTTGACGGTAAATACTGTGTTACATATTTATATATTAAACACATTTTGTTCCTCAATTTTCTACACCGTTTTATTTTAAATATAAAGGTTTTTTGTATTCGATTTTTAAATAGTATGAGGTTTTGTATATGCAGTATAAAGACTATTTAAATTATCTAATCGCAGGACCCGATCAAATATTACCTGCGAATTCGGATACTGTGTGTAACAGCAACGGTAGAATCCGAATAAAATTAGACAGCAGTGGATTAAATTCGTACATGCCCGTGTCGATTCCTGGTGTTTTAAGCAGAACGGCAAAGCGTTATCCCGATCATATCGCAATGGTATCGAGACCCGGCCTGGACGGCAAAAGGACCACGTACACTTTTCAGTAAGTTTCTACTACCATATGTATACACGTATGTATATGTATGTATCAAATCGAGACTAAAATAAATAAACAATGTGATATGATCGACGCATTGTTGGATTTTCATTACAGAGAATACGAACAGGCTGTAAGAACTGTCGCTAAAGCATTCCTAAAACTTGGTTTAGAACGATATCACAGCGTTTGTATATTGGGATTCAACTGTCCAGAATGGATGATTGCCGACCTCGCAACCATATACGCCGGGTAAAGAGAATTCACATTCGTTTCACATCTTTACCAGCATCACATTTGCCATAATCTCGCACAAGCCAACAATAGAAGCAAAATTAATTTCGTCTATGCGACTTGAACTTAAATGTATACAGAATTAATTTCAGTTTAGAGATCATTTCGAATTTTCGTCTTTGAGGGCGTCACCATTTGATGACTTTCTCTATAATTTCTTTTTTTTTATTCTTTTAGTGGATTCGCTACGGGAATTTATACCACAAATTCTCCGGAAGCGTGTCAATATTGCGCCGGACACAGCCGTGCGAACATTATAATAGTTGAAGATCAAGTACAATTAGCGAAGATCTTGAAAATAAAGGACAATTTGCCCGACTTGAAAGCGATTGTACAATACGAGGGCGTACCTACCGAGAAGGATGTCTTAAGTGTGAGTAAATTTTTAATATTTTTTTTATTTGCACTATATATAAATTGGTTTTTTTTTTTTTTTTATTGCTCCTCAGTGGAATGATCTACTGGAGATAGGTAAGAAAGAATCGGATGATAAGCTGCAGTCTGTATTGAAGACGATCGGAGTAAACGAGTGCTGTACCCTGGTATACACGGTATGTTGAGAATTCAAACACACGTACATTATACTCCACAACCGATTATACTGCATAATTATATAACCGTCTGTATATACACTTTAAGATTTTCTCAACGTGTTATTTTTTTATATAAGTTACAATCGATAATTTGCAGTCGGGGACGGTTGGAAATCCAAAAGCCGTAATGTTGAGCCACGACAATCTTTTGCACAATGCACGGGTGATAACTGCGGCAGTACAGCTGCAAGAAAAGAGTGAAAGTACAGTCAGCTACTTGCCTTTATCTCATGTTGCAGCACAGGTCAGATTTTTCATATATAGAATAAACTTTAATATTTTATAATGTGATTTTACACGGACTTGTACATCTGTTATATATAATAAAATAAAAAAAATCAATTTGTCATTAATTCATTCGCAATTATATTGTGTATATATGTATATGTAAAATCTTTGATTGTTTCAGTTGATTGATATTATATTGCAAATATTTATCGCATCTACTGTACACTTCGCGGATAAGAAAGCATTGAAAGGTTCGTTAGTGGAGACGTTGCTTGTTGCAAGACCAACCGTGTTCATGGGTGTGCCGAGAGTATGGGAGAAGATCTACGAAAAGATGCAAGAAAAGGCGCGCGATAATGGCAAAATCAAAACGTGGATCGCCAAATGGGCAAAGACGCAGGCTCTTTATTACCACAATAATAAAATAAACGGCACGGATTACAAACACTGGGGTTATTGCTTCGCAAAATGGCTCGTTTTCAACAAAGTGAAAGAAGCACTGGGTCTGGATAAGTGTCGATTATTAGTTACGGCAGCGGCGCCCTTAAACATAGAAATAAAAAAATATTTTCTTAGTCTGGACTTACCTTTGGTCGAAGCGTACGGGATGTCAGAATGCGGCGGCGCTCACACAATAACGTATAAAGAATTCAGGTAAATGTCGTAAGTCACTTTGTACATAATAATTTTTGTCGAATTTTGAACTTTACTGTTACGCGCAAATATTATAAGCCGCGATTATTTATACCTCACTTTTATCAATAAATGCGTGTTTAGGATATAGTTATACTATAGAAGTTAAGAAATAAATAAATGTGTGTATGTGTGTGCATAAAAATGAGACAAAAATACAGACTAGTGTGTAAAGTACGAGATCTTAAAAGATCTTAAATTAATTTTTTTTTGTAACAACAGTTAGCAGATATACATATATATATATCTCTCTCTCTTCTTTGTTGTAGTATGTATGATGTCGGAATAGCTTTGCCCGGATTTTACACAAAATTAGACAATGTCGACGAACACGGTGAGGGCGAAATATGCATGAGCGGACGACATGTGTTTATGGGCTACTTGAACGATCCTGAAAAATCTGCCGAGACTAAAGATGAAGACGGTTGGTTGCATAGTGGCGATCTTGGCAAAATAAACTCAAAAGGAGTTTTATCTGTTACTGGTAAGCCGTCTCTCTCTCTCTGTGATTGTTTTTTTTTTTTACTTCAATATTTCTTATTCATTATTACATAAAAGAATCATATCTTTTTGTGCGCATTTTATTTTGCCCCCATCGGTTTTTATTTATTATTTTATTTTTTTTTTGTTTTAATATTCATTGACTACCATTACGCAGCGTATTACGATGATAATGAAGCAATTGTACATGTGATTATTCATATGAATGCTGAATTGGCGAACATTGGCGACTTTATAATTACACGTATCGATAACTAAAGTCAAAAAATTTAATAATTTAATAACCCTTTGAGTGCTATGGGCGCACATATGCGTCCAGCGAAAGCCATCGATGTAGACTATGGACGCAAATACGCGCTCAGCAGTTGTCATCAGTATAGACTATGGACGCAAATACGCGCTCAGATGATGTTTTCAGTATCGACGATAGACGCAAATACGCGCCTGGCAAAAATGATCAGGGAACAATGCAACACTCGCAAAAAAGACCGTCGTCGCTTAGTAACGATAAGAAGCAAAGTTTATCATACGCAAATAAATTATTAATTTTTTCTATGAATTTTTAGTTTTTTTTTAAATATCTATGTATTAAATGTTATTTTCTTAAAATGTATATATATTTGAATCCTCTCCATGATTATATAATCCTTCTTATGATTTGTTTAATTTTCTGATTATGAATGTGTCATACACCGTCAACAAGATCCATACTGCGCGAAAAAGTATTCAGTCCCCGGCGATCATCAGCGTAAGCCGCGCGCCGTCCGTACGAGCTGCATAGGCCGCGAGTATTCAGCACTCAAAGGGTTAATCTTATTTTCGTCATTTATCAACCAGTTAAATCAGTTATTTTTTTGTCTAATTTTTGCTCCTTTTAATCCGATACATGTTCAGCTATAAAGTATACGTATTATTGAAGCGATACGCTTACCTAAATTAATGTTATTACGATAACGATTTTTTTTTTTTTATCTTATTTTTGCAGGTAGACTAAAAGAGCTTATAATTACAAGCGGCGGAGAAAATGTGGCACCATACAACATCGAGCAGGCGGTACTGGCGGAGTTGCCTGCGTTAAGCAACGCGATGTTGGTCGGTGATAAAAGAAAATATCTTACGATCCTCGTGACGCTCAAAGTACGTTGAAAATTCAACGTAGCGAAATCAAAAATAAAATGTATGAATAATTGAATGTATCAAATCAAATATATCTTGTTTCCAGAGTAATATGAATACCGAGACCGGCGAGCCTTTGGACACGCTGACCGAAGATGTGTTGAAGTGGGCAAAATCCGTTGGTAGCAAAGCCAAAACAGTTACGGAAGTTATAAACTCGCGCGATCCGATTGTAAGTATATGCATTTTTTAAAGCGACAGAAATGAAGATACGATTGACACGATTTCAACATAAAGTTGATAAAGCGTGTAAACGTACATTATTACAACTGCAAAAGAAATGTGTATCTATGTATGTTTTGTCATTGCGCATATGAAAAAAATGTCATGTATAATTTATATAATTCTTTCAGATATACAATGAAATCGATAAGGCGATCAAGAGAGCCAACACGCACGCCATAAGCAATGCTCAAAAAGTGCAAAAGTTTGAAATTCTTCCTCATGACTTTTCCATTCCGACCGGCGAGTTGGGACCCACACTGAAACTCAAGAAGAACGTGGTCTCGAAGATGTACGCGGATTTGATAGAAAAATTGTATACTGAGTGATATTCCCTACATTCCCCACTGCAAATGATGTGACAATATAAATTCTCAATGAGAAGCTAGGATAGATAAGGAAATTATTAGAGGTGTACAAAAGTTCGGCGTCACATATCGCCATACGGCCTTCGGCTTTGTTAATGACTTTGCTTTTCTATCTCTCGCATTTTTATATTGTACTTTATTGTCATAATCGAATGCGAATTGTCATAATCTTTAGCGAATAATGTTTTTTCTAGTGTCTTTAAAAATAGAGATCGATAAAGCGCACATGCATTTTTTATTTTTAACTGCATGTTAGTTCAATCTATGCAACACAGTTGCAAAGCACAAATTACTTGTGACTTATCTATTCCGCATATGAAAAAAATGGTGCTAGAACGTGTCGGAAGTGGTTATTGAAACTTAAAAAAGTGATAACTTCGACGTCAGCGACAAACCACGCTCTAAACAATTCTTCCGAAATTCATCAATTACTTGATAGATAGCAAAAGGTGATAGAAAGCAAGAGAAAATATTTTAAGGAAGATTGAACATTTTGTATTTTTAATAATAATAATGATAGTTTTTTAATTAAAAAAACGCCGAAAACTTTGCACACTTCTAGTACATACATATATAGCTCCTATTTTGTCTAAGTTTTATACTATCAAGTATCCAACTAAGTAGCTATAACACATCTACACACAACAAAACCCTCATCAAATGTTGATTAAACGCTCACAGCTCTATGCGATATGTAATGAACATCTATGAGTTTTTGTGGATTTTGTTGTGTGTGTGTGTGTGTGTATGTATAGACATATATTCTGCAATAAAAAATTATAAAAAGATTATTTTTTTACCGACAAATAGAAAAAAAATACATCTTTATTCCAAAGATATTTTAATATATTAATATAACCATATATTAAATACTATAATTTTAGTTTAATAATAATTGTACGTATCGTATTTTTATTTATAATACAACATTTTTCTACTTTTTAAGCAAAAATGTTTACTATAATGCATAGGTGAGAATGAACGACAAGAAGAATAATTTTAGTTGTACAATATATTATACTAAATATAGTTTATACAATAAACAAATCTGTAGTTACATTTAAAATTATTTGTTTATTTTCGTAGTAAACGCGACTTTTCATAAGAAAATAGTCTTGCTAAGCGCATCACAGCAGCTTTGGAAATGCAGATCTGTATATATCATCTTACTCTTAATTTTATCATGCTCAAATGTGGGATTACACTCACATTACGTTGTTTTTACATCTCATCGAGAGATAAGAAAAGTCTTTCTATTGATGAAATTGTTCACGCTACTTTGACTGTCTTACCACATTTTCAATATCAATTTTTACATATGTGCATCTAAAACCTCCTTTATATGCTCATTGAAATAACACAACACAATATTACGTACGGAACTCTGTCTTTTTTTTTTTTTTGTTACTGTAAAGTTATAGTTAATAAGAATGTAAAACACACAGCATAACGATGTATATAAAAAATTCACACAAAAATCCTCAAATAGTAACACATTTAATCGAGCAATCAGTAATAAGACGTATGTACCACTGTGACACACATACAGAACATTATTATTTCAAAATATTACAGATGCTCTTTTTCAAGAGAATAAACTAAAAAAAAATAATGAGTATTGCTTAAGATGAGAATCATATAGTATTAACATACTAAGATGTTTTTTCGGGTTTGAACCGCGATAGTGTTATTCTTATACCGACGTTTCGTGAACATTACAGCTCACTTCATCAGAGTTTAAAGAGCAGCCTGATACTGATCAGGCTGCTCTTTAAAAAACATCTTTGTATGTTAATACTACACATCGCGAAAGCATCAAATATCAAATCATATAGTAAATACGTGAAATAGTTTACAGAAGATCTTTTTTTAAATAAAAATTAAAAGTTTTTCAGAACCTCGGATTGTATCTGTAATTGTATCATATTATTCTGACTCAAACTAAAAGACTAAGTAATTACAAAATATAACAACAGAAATATTTTAAGATGTTGTTGTTGTGTTGAATTTTTGTTGAATGATAGATGTTTTTCGTTGTGGGACTGACTCTGGTGTTGGTATAGCATCACCTGTTGGCAAAACACCAGCTGGCTTTGGCTTAGCTGTGGATTTTTGTTTTGCCATTTGATAATCCCCAGAATCAAAATATTTTTGCTGAAAATACACAGTGAATATAAACTGTTTGAACAAAGCTTTTTTGAAAGAAAATATTCTTGTTTCTCTTATAATATAATATAAAAATCATAAATAATCAGTAGACTGATATTTACTCCTTTGGCTAGCCTTTTCTGCAAAAATGCAGAATGACCGCCAAACGGACGATTAGCCGCATTTGGATACTTTGCTTTTAGTTTGGCTTCTTCCAATTTTTCAATATCACTGGATGACAACTGTAATAAATAATAAAGTAAAATGTCTGTATATATATATATATATTTACATACTGTCAATTTTAAATTAATTTTTAGAGAAAGTTAAAAAATATATAGAATATTTCTCTTTTATTATTTCTTTTTTATTCGTTTGTTTGTAACACAAACTTGATTACCTCTACTTTTTTCTAATAAATTACTCTTGTTATTAACAATTTGAATCTCTTACCTCTGTAGTTGGGCTTTGATCGGCTGACTGATCGTCACTCATCTCGTAAAAGATTTTTTTAAACACACTCTCTTCTCTTCAACAACTGAACTTTTTGCTTGAATTAACTCTCAAACACTAAATTCAACACTAACGTGTATTAACGTACATAAGCTAAGTGAATGGCGCAATACAAATCGTAACCGCTTCGAGGCATTCGCTCGAACGGATCGAGGGACGATCTTTCCGATCTTCTGTTTCTACTCGATGCGCCGCGAAAAACACATTTACCGCATCGAGATAACGAGCGAGTGTCAATGAAATTATTTTCATAAAATCTGCTAATAATGCGATCGCGCGAACGACAGCGTCACATGCGAGTCGGCAGCCGTTATATGTTGTTTTGCAGACAAGGAGCGTCAATTTGCGTTACGCGCAACTGGAAGCGACACGATAGCCAATCAATATGCTACGTTTCCATAAAAACAAAATCCTGATTGGCTATCGCGCTGTTTTGTCATGCGTAACGCGCTGACGGTTCCGTCTGCAGAAGCCATTACACACCGAAATTTTGCACGGCGCAAGTTTTATATTTATTCACAACGGAAATCTTCAAATACACGTAAAGCTTCGTATTCACGATACTCGCGAAAAAAATCGATTCGAGTCTCGTGTAAGTTTAAAAGTTCTTGTATTGGTCGATCGTCTGAATCGATTGGTCAGTTCTGTTCCGCAAATTAAAATACAACCACTCTCGCAAATCGGTTCGAATTATTTATTTTCATCCTGTATTTTAATTTGCGTCTTGACAACGCGAAGTAGAAATCGGCAGTAACATAAAACATAAACCGGTATAAATCCGATCAATCGCATAAATGAGTTGGAAAAAAACAGCGGAGTCTCTCTCTCTCTCTCTTTGTCTATCTATCTATATCTCTCTCTTTCTCTTATCTTACTCATTCACTCGCGCTCGTCACTTGTGGTGGTAGCACCGGTCGGTTGTGTGTACCAGCTGATCTTTGAGCTGCTATGTTCAAAGCGGACGATACGGTGATACATAATTTGCCGCATGTTTGTAGTGAACCGATCCGATAATTTCAACCGATTTAAATACCCGCTGGGAAAATAACACGCCATGAACACTTTGATTCACACGAAACGGATGATAATCGAGCACGGTGGAATCATTCGACGTTCGTATTATTTTCATCGTATTATTACTTCACGTCCCATTATAGATTACACCACAAGTTTTGCAACTTGTAATACTGTGTATATATATCGTCATAAAAAAAAAAAAAAATGCTTCTGTTAATTTTGCACGCGCAACGATATCGACTCGTCGCTGTAAAATTAACGATGCATTGTAACACTTTGATATTTTTTTTTCAATTGTCTCGTCCGTTTTAACGTTTGTTAAAAAAAACGCGATATCGCCACAGGTTATGTCACGCCACATGTCTCTTAAGTTTTTTCTAATGTATATAGCTTTGTATATATGTACACATAGTTGTCAAGAACCTTCGTGTTTTTTTTTTGCATATACAACTGTTATTATTTCATTGCTCAGTCATTTTGTGTGCATTTAATGTTACCCGATATTTGACAATAACTTGGAGTGTTTTACTCTAGATGTTAGTAGTAAAAACAAATCTGTGCTCGTAGTGTTTTATTTTTTATTTTATTTACATACTGTAATACAGACGTTCTTTAATTTTATATATTTAGTGATCGCAAACTTTTTTATTCATTTTAGGATGTTCCCCGTTTAAATTATTGTATAATAATAATCATACAATGGGTAGTATAGCTTTACTTTATACTTTTAACTTTAATCAAAATCGAAAAAACTTGTTGCCGGAGCCTACGGTGTTGTCGGCGTATGTTAACAATATGCCGTATATACAAATCCGAACGTTTTATATGACGCCAAACTGGAAAGGACAGGAACCATCGTCAAAAGTGGAAGAAACAGTAAAAAATATCAAAGAAGAGAAAGAACTCAAAGAGAAAATGACAGACAGTGTTGTTAAACATTGCGAGCCAAAAAAGGCTGTTGCTAAGGTTACAATATGGCAAAAAATCAAGGGTGAAATATTGCATTATTATCATGGATTTCGATTATTGGGACTTGATATGAAAGTTTCTGCTAAATTAATATGGAGAATTTTACATGGAAAGGAACTCAGTAGGAGGGAGCATCGTTTGGTACGTCAAGCAGAAAACTGTAACACACATACAGGAGTACATTTCAAAATCCTACCTTGGTTACTAAAATGCTATATTTTGTGTCACGTGTACTATAGTTTACCAAAGTAAGATTTTGGAACGTACTTCAGATAAGACATTAGTGTTAAAATTTATTACAATTATTATTATTATATATAATCAATTATTTTGACAGCTTGTAAAAACAACTGGAAATATGTTCAGATTGATACCTTTCTCTGTGTTTATTATTGTTCCTTTTATGGAATTTTTACTGCCTGTGGCGATCAAACTGTTTCCTGGTATGCTACCATCTACTTTTCAAACAGCAACTGAGAAAGAAGATAAATTGAAACAAGCCTTGAAGGTATAAAAAAAACATCGAAGTATGTATTCATAGCGAGTGATAAGTAAGCGCATGTAAATATGCTTTGCCGTTTTTTGTTTTTAAACAGGTCAAGATAGAAATGGCAAAATTTTTGCAAAAAACCTTAGACGAAATGGCGGTACAGTCATCGGATCATTACAGATCTGAAAAAGCTAAAGAATTCGCGGAGTTCTTTTACAAAGTACGGACATCCGGTGCCGTTGCAACGAACGAAGAAATTATGAAATTTAGCAAACTCTTTGAAGACGAAATTACATTAGATTCTCTCTCGCGGCCTCAGCTAATTGCTTTATGCCGTGTATTGGATGTGCAAACACTTGGAACGACAAATTTCTTACGATTCTTACTCAGGATGAGATTGAGAAGTCTTACTGCGGACGACAAAGTTTGTATAGTTACATTTTTCTGTAAAAGTTTTTTTAGACTTTAACAGCTAAAGCGTATTATTCCCTTTGACAGCTAATCGAAAAGGAAGGAGTCGATACCCTGACTAGGGCTGAATTGCAACAAGCGTGCAGAGCTCGTGGTATGCGCGCTTACGGGTTGCCAGAGAACAGGCTGAGAGAACAATTATCACAATGGTTGGATCTGAGTTTGATTAAAAAAGTTCCGCCCTCTTTGCTGTTGCTGTCGCGAGCACTTATGATACCGGAAACAGTGCCTATGTCAGACAAACTGAAGGCGACTATTTCGGCCTTGCCCGATACGGTTGTGGCTCTCACAAAGGGTGCTATCGGGGAAAAAGAAGGTAAACTGGATCATAGAACGAACATTGAAATTATAAAGATGGAAGAGAAGAAGATTGAAGAAGAAAGAAAAGAGAAGAAGGAAACCGAACCACAACCAACTATTGTGGAATCCAATGCTGCGAAAGATGAAATTACCGCTACGGATGTTAAAGTTTTGGAACAGGCTCTGGATTCAATCGGCAAAGTCAGTAAAACAAGAAAAAAAGAAGAGATGTTTTTAATTGATCATCTTTTAATTTTTACACAGGATTTTGTAACATAATTTGCAATTGTTGTAGGACAACAAGAAAATGGTTGTAGAAAAAGAAGAACTCAAAGAACTTAAAGAAGAAATGGCAGAGTATCAAGAGGATATTAAGGAACTATATCAAATTAAAGCAGAGGCTAAAGGTCAAGCGGATATAGAAAATATTAGAGTATCGAAAGGTGCTAAGAGACTGTTTAACAAAGTGAATAAAATGATCTCAAAGATGGATGCTGTTTTATTGGAGCTTGAGCAGTCCGAGAAGAAGGTCAAAGAGAGAATAGAATTGTTGGGTCCTGATGAAAAACGGGATGCCAAGGATGTAGAAGAATTAGTTAAAATAGACGAATTAGTCGCGGCAATTAAGCAAATTCAAAATGTTCCAGACGATCATCGATTAAAACGCATAACAGAAATTTTAGGAAAAATTGACAATGATCATGACGGAGCTATAAAAATAGAAGACGTCTTAAAGGTATGTTTTAAAGCCGATTTATATAGTTTTTTATTGTTACATATTATTTTTACGCACTTAAACGCGTTACATTAATTATTTTATACAAATTTTTTTTTCAGGTTGTAGAATTAATAGGTAAAGAAGATGTGAATTTAAGCGAAAAACAAGTGGACGAATTGATAGAGTTAATAGACAAAGAAGAGATATTGAAAATGGAAGAACAATTACAAAAATCATTAGAAAAGGACAGCAAAATAGGCAAGGATGAGGAGATTAAGGCCGGACATAAATCTACGGTTCCGGCTACACCTGTAACAACTGAGCCAGGATTTGGAAAGGAAGAACTAACGGACGATGCCATAAGAGAATCCTATGTAGATTCTTCCGTCGAGGAAGGTAAACAAAAAGCAGCCGCCGTTCTCAAGACCGACTCCAAGTCTGACGAAGTAAAAACTCCTCCTCTTTCACCGAACGTTCCACCATCGGCAAAAAAAGCAGAAGGAACAAAAACACATCTGTGATTAGCGCACAATGAAATATAAATATTAACGTAAATTTAATTTTTATTATCAGAGCAATATTTTTATTGAAATCTAATACCGTGAGGTATAGATTTCTATCTGTACTTTGCACATATTATTGTCTTTAGAAAACAATTTCTAATATTTACGTATTTTTTCGACGAATAGAAAGTATATAAACTTACATAAAATGAAAAAGAGAAGAATTTTATATTCGTGTATTGCAGGCACAAAAGATTATTTCACAATTGGTCAATACATGACTTACAGATAACATATTATCGATATGTTGTGTTGTACATAAAATACGAATGCGGATATATAAATATCTTATATACGTCTACTGTACGAAATATTTGAGTAACAGCGAATTATCTTTAGTTTCATGTTTTACACTTCACATATAGAAAAAAAACCGAAATTTTCTTTTAAAGACTGTGATGCATTTAATAGCATCATTGTTCCCTTTTATTGGTAAAACAATTATAAAAATTAATACATTGATCATTGATTCTGAAACTTATTGTCGATGTTACACACAAATCTTTTTTTTAAAAAGAAGCGATTATAATATTATTCTCGTAATATTGACAATAAATTACAGAAAAAAGCAAAAAACCTGTTTGGTTTTCTTTTCGTTAAAATATAGTTAAACTTTGCAGTAAACCTATAAAACAATCATTCCACCTTTCTGAGCGCTATTGTTGTACATTTATAGTACGAGTGTATATTAATTATAGCTCACATAGCGCAGCCATATATTGAGCTATAAAACAAAAAACTGTACAGTAATTTATATAACTTACCATTTGTGAAACACAGAGCAAAGTTGTTATAAAAAAGAGTTAATATATATATTGTGAAAATAAATCAATATATATATATATACACACGAATTTTTTTTGTTTCGTGCTACATAGAGTTCTAAATTTGCAAACAGGATTTTGTTAGAAAAATATTTCTATGTGAAAATATTGTGTAAAATGTTATATCTCATACACATACACACATATACACGAAGAGAGAGAGAGAGAGAGAGAGAGAAAGAGAAAGAGAATTTAAAGACACATGTACATGAAAATATGTATTATACATTTGCATTACTTTGTATATGTGATTAACTGAGGTGAAGGCCGTTCAAAATATCATAAATGTGTTTATATATATATATAATACATATATATAAATTCAACAAGATAACACATTTTTTCAGAGTGCTCTATTTCTTTACTTCTGCGCATGAAAGTCTAAATATATATGTAAAAAGTAATAAGTGTATTATTTTTTTAAATTTTTATAGGGTTAAAGTTTTCTCAGAAAACGAGATAAATAAAATTTATTATTAAATGTCCTAAAAAAATGAATTTTTTACAACATTTTTATTGTGCATATTTCTCATCTGTTTTCTTTCCTCCATTTTGTTGTCTTTCCACATTTACCAAAAAAGTTAATATAAGTATAAACCTTTATATGTATATTTCTGATATATAAAGGTTGAGGTATATTTTTTATATGTGGATCTCTGTATATTTTTTAAAAATTAAATTATTACACAATAAAGATATAAATGAGTTGAGATAAATAACAGTTGAATAATCAGTCAAAAAAAGTACGTTGAGATTTGCATAAAAATGCTTTAAACTTGTGCAACATAGCAGATCACAAACATTTAAAAGTGAAAAATCTAATTGATCTCTCGAATATTTATTTATATTCGAGTTTAAATATTGCTATTAAAACTTAACTCAAAGTTTTTAAAGTTTGATTAATCTCTTTACATAAACAATGATTAAACAATTAAAAGTCGCATTCAATGTCAACAGTACAAAAGTATCAAATCAACCTTCAATACAGATACTTTGCTTTTCTTTCAAGAAATCTATAAATATAATTTTTTGAGAACTTTTAATGATTATTCTATAAAAATGTCTCTCCGTTTTTTAAGATGTATTAAAAATTTAGTCATATTAATATTTGCAATAAACGCACACTCCACAGAGGTGGAGCTTTCTTTTTAGATAAGCGACTTAAGTATTTATACGATCAGTCTCTACTTACAGTCTATCATGTTAGATATAAAAATTGTATTTTTATCTAATATTTGTGACTCGATATTTCAGATGTGCGAGTAACATCAATTACAAAAGAACCATTGCAATGGTTTTTTTACGATACTAATATAAAATTACAATAAGTTTGTTTTTTTTTCAAAGAAATTTTTAAATCTTTTTTGCTCAAAAAATAAATCGAAATATATCAAACTGTTATATGTATGCTATTTTTAAAAAAACTTTAAAACTAAAACCTAATGTTGCAAAACTATATATGTAAAACAAAACACAATATTATTAAAACTACAATACGCACATAGAAAAACAAATAGTACTTAAAGTTTTCTCGTTACTTTACAGTGTTATGACTATTTTAAATTTTGTAAATTATTAATAAAACATTTTTTATATTTTTCAAATTTCTAAATTTTTTAAATATAACAATAGAGTGCTGAACTCATTGGAGGTTGCAGATAAGTAATGCAAAGATCACTTAAGAACGTAATTACTTTATTTTTCTCTCAACGTATATATAATTTTTACATGATTTGCACAAATAACATCTAAAAAAACAAAAAGTAGAAAATATTTATAAGACATATGAATATACTTTTTATATATTTTAAATTTTCTTAAATACACATCAAGATTATTTGTTTCAGCACTCTGAGAACAAGTAATTACCGCATATAAAAAACCTGCACTTTTATATTATTTTTTTAAGCTTTGGCTTTTTAACATAAATTGTGTATCATAGGAATGAAATACTAAAATAGTATAGACTGAACAGTAATAAAAATATAAATGCTATTGAAATACATTATTTTAATAATCTTATAGAAAATATAAGATATATGTGTACATATATATATATGTGTATATATATGTATATGTATGTATATGTATACAAAATTCTTCAAATATATTTTAAGTAGGAATACCAGAATGTAAAATATATACACATATACATACATATATATATATATGTGATATATACATAGAGTAAATGTGTCTCAAGTTTGAATATATTCCGTGTTCACGTATGTTACATATACAGTAAACAGCAAAGATTAAAGACTGTCAATTCACTGTAAAGTGTCAGAAAACTTTCATTTTATATAAATACAGTTCTCTTATATACGATTCCAATTATAGAGATTGTAGCTTTCATAATACAAATTATGCACTGTTTTATGTTTGTTGTTATAGCAAGACGCAGCATTTTGTTGGCTTGTCACGTTCGCTTCCATCTCCCTGATTTTCCTGTGCCTTACGAGCAGCTATTGCTCGCATTAAATCAAAGAATACCTGTAATGTCATAACGCTGAATATAGTTTTTATTCTTTAAACTTTTGATTTGTGTGTTTTTCAGAGCAAATATTTCACTGCAGTATTATTACATGTCATGATGGTAATAATTAAACTAAACAAAATTCAATTTTAGATATGTGTTATACGTGTAATTTTCACTTTTACATATATAATGTGTATAATTGTTTTTCATATATATATATATGTAACTATATGTCTCATTTGTGTAATATATCTAATTAGTGTAATATATTGAATTATTAACAAAAGAAAAGCACAAACACATGCCTTGCATAAGCTGTGATAAGCTTTATAGACACTATTTTTTTTTTTTTATATCTATTTTGCACATATGTAAATAACTTGGTAAATAATTTCTTTGTAATAATGGAACTTAAAGTATCAATAATTTTCAAAAGCTATATATGTATATATATACATATATATATATATATATATACATTCATACATATACATACGCACACGCATGCATGCATATATGTATTTTCTGTATGATATAATTCATATTTTTTAAAATTTTGATTAATGATCGTACATTTATATATATATTGTTACGCGGGGGTCACCGCGTATGTGTCGCGGGAGCCGCGTGAACAGCGCACACATATGTATACACATAAATGATTGAGAACAAAAATTACAATAATTAAACATTAACATTCTCTACACACAACAACAAAATTTGCTAAAATGAGAAAACGCAAGTTTCAAATATCTTAAACAATAAAAAAAAATACGTGCAAGAAAACTGGCAAACCTATAGAATAATGCACTTCTTTTTCTTCCTCTTGGCACGGTCTTTACCTCGACCATTACTTGCTGATTTATCTTCAATTTTACGTGACCTTATTTCACGCATCAAGTCAAAAAACACCTGCAAATGTGCAATACGAATGCTCAAAGCTTTAAGGCAAAAAACGTGTGCTATATAAAATAAACATTACTCTTGTATTTATAAAAAAAATGTGAGAATTATGCGCACATAAGCGGTAGTACAACACACATGTAGTGTGATATAAATAATAACATATGTATATATATTTACATATATATATATATATATATATATACATATATAAATATATTTAAATATACATAAACTGCAGACTTAAGCTTATTCAAAAATGCATATATATTTCGTGCAACTGATTCATATACCGCACATTACGTTATACTGTGATGTGAGTGCATCAAAAATAAATGTGAAAGCAATAAATACATGTAAATGCATCTATCAGTTTTAATAATTTAAATACGTATATATATATATATAAGATATATGAATATTCTGTAAATATCTGACATTATGTTTTATGAAGAATAAATCTACTTAAACAAAGTTATAAAATATTTAAACTTACAAAATAAAACATAGAAAATCTTTCGAAGTTTTTTATTTGAGTGAAAACACCGAATGTTGTTAATAAATAGAACTAAGAACTTAAAGATAAAAGAAAAATAACACATTTTTAGAATTCTTTATTTCTTAAATAATATATATTAAAAATAAGAAAAAAAAAAAAAAAAAAAAAAAAAAAAAACATCCTTGATGATATATCTTTTCAAAACAACAATTGAAATATTGTATTATGTGTAAACATTTTTACCTTATCGACATTTTCTTTTGTTTTAGCGCTTGTCTCCACATAAGGAACACCCCATTGCTGAGACCTTGCTTGAGCTTCGGCTAAACTAACCTTCCTTTTTTCTTGCAAATCACTTTTATTTCCCACTAATAAAAATGGAATGTTCTCATCATTTTTTACCCTGAGAATTTGTTCTCTATGACAAAAAAAGTGTTTGTTTTGGTTTAGCTGGAATAAACCGATAATATGATCCACAAAATAAATAAGTTTCTTTGGAAATTTCGTTTTTTGGGATTTTATACACAATAAACAGTTTAATATGTTAAAATTTACTCACCTGAATTCTTGTGTAGCCTGAAAGCTATCATCTTCTGTTATCGAGAATACACAGAGAAATCCTTCCCCACTGCGAAAATAATTGTCTCGAATTGCTGCATAGTCTTCTTGTCCAGCAGTATCCAAAATGTCTATTTGTACCTCTTGTCCGTCTAATACTACTTTTTTTCTGTAGGAATCTGCTTTTGTAGGTTCATAATCTTCAACAAACTAATTTTGACATTATAATTAAGATTAATTATATTAAAATTATATTAAAAAACAAAATCTTACTTTATATAATGACATGGTAAACATTAAAAAAAATCTTTTTTAAAATATATACACTCTTTCTCTAGAAATAATTTAAAAGATTTAACAGATGAAATATGAGAATATTAGAAAAAAATTATGTAAATTATATATGCAATATTGAATGTGCTAACAATGCGTAAACAAATATTGTTTATAAAAACATAACTTGTTTTTACCTCATCATACATAAACTGTAATGTGAGAGCAGATTTTCCAACACCTCCACTCCCAACCATGATGACTTTATGCATTGCTTGGGTAGCTCCTGGTTTCTTCGACATTTTTGTGGTAATTACCTTCAATTAAGATAAAGTGGAGTTGTTAAATATCTTTCCTATCTTAAAAGCATATAATCACATTTACTTAAAACACTTTCTAGAAATATCTAATTATATCATAAATTAATTTTTGTTTGTATTTATATTAATTTTATATTTTAGCAAAATGTATGTATACAATAATAGAAACAAAATGAAAATAACCAAAGAAAGACAATAAGTTTATAATTGATTAACAGATATATATATATATATATACATATATCTTTTGCATTTTTTTTAAGAGTTTACTTTATGATAATTACCTACCTTAATTAGAGCAGGAGTTAACAATACCAGGATGGGAAAATGTATTATCAGTGTGAGAGATCTAAGACTAAGGTCAAGATATGATTTTGTGTTTCTGATACATCATACCATACAGGAAAGTATGCTAACATGAAATATGAGTTTGCTATGTAGTACATGAGAAAAGTAGTAATAATAATACTAGAAAGAGAGTGAGAGAAAAAAAGAAAAAAGAGAGACTGTGTGTAATGTATTTAATATTTAAATTTTTCTTTTATATTTTACAAAAATTGTCTAGTCTAGAATCTCTGTGCCATTATATTATCGAAATCGATATATTATAACATAAAGTTTTTACAACAAGAGAGAATTTCTATTTGATATTACGCTAAGTTGTAAAAAATCAATAACAAAATTGTATTATATTCCACTAATATTTTTTAAATAACAGTAGCTGCGTATTGGTGTAATATATATTACAAAAACTGAAAAAATAAATTTATACACTGCGGTTTAAATTACACACAAACAAATTGCGTGTTCACAATTCATTTCGATTTCTTTCCCCCCTTTGCTGATGAAAATCCAACTAAATAAAAAAAAACAAACACACAAAACAAAGAAACAAGAGATATATCACGTACAAATATATATTTCACATTTTCCTCTCGTAACCATATATATAAATATACTTCGATTTTACTTTTTCTTTTTTCGACATGTATCACTTACATACGTGGAATCTGATAAGAGAAGAACAATCATTATAAATAAATTATAACGTGACACGTAAGAAATTTGCAGGAAGTGGCTGACGCGAGGCGTTGTGTACGAATTAACGAATGACACATTGATCGGTGCGAAGTGCGTCTATTCGAAAATAGAAATATAACAGAATCTGTCGTGGAATGTAAAGTACAAGTGTGTGTAACGAAAAAGGCGGTGCCGTGTACGTTCTCTTGGAACAATAGCGGATTTTACGTAGACCAGACGTGTCGGTTCCGCCGAAAGTGTCAGAAACCGGCCCGGCGTTCACGGCTCGCTCTGTCATTGAAACGTGCGCAATTACAAAGAAATGTCTTATAAATACCTTTGAAAATTGTGCAAAGACCGAAACGACTATCCGTGCATTCAATGATCTCACACAGCCGTCACCTGCATTTGGTTTACTTTCACGCAACCGGCAGTTCCGGCAGTTAAACAACGATGGCGCTTTCATCGTCCAAATGGCCAATCGCACACTCTGGATGCGTTTCGATATTCATTGCCGGCATTACAAATCTATAGTTCACGTTACGCTATGTTATATACTTTCAATGACTGACAGTAAATTTTGGAACACAGCCTCTAATTAAAGCCCCTCGCACAATGGACGGAATAGCGATAGCGATAGAAATAATAACAGTTGTAAAGAGTTTATATTTATAAATAACGGTAGGAACAGCGGAATCTAACATACAAAAATATACACGTGTATCAATGCAGATCAGAAAATCAGAATAAGCAATAGCGATAAAATTTCCGACGAGTTGGAATTTTGTGTCTAAAACCGTGTTATTTCTATCGCTATTACTTCCATTGTGCAAGGGGCTTTATAGAGATATATTTTTGCATAAAAAATAAATGGACAAGCGTGTGTATAATATAACCTAACCTAACCCTATGAAGATTGTCGAGCTTTCTCGAGTAATCAGATTTAGATAATTAACGAGTATGATTTTTTGATTATTACAGAACTATAATTTACGACTTTCTTTGTCTAAACATCGACGTGTTTGTAAACATGACAGCATCAGCAAATGCTAGCATCGACGATCCTGTTGAAATCGAAGATACTGTCGAACGCATGCTGAAGAAAACCGGTTGCATGGAATTGCATTATCAAGTTCAAGTTCGTACATTTATAATTATTCTTAATCGATTACATTATCAACTGATCGTTGTGTTGGAATATAATAAAAAATTGTTTTTTTTTTCCATATATTTTAGTTTTAAGTAATAACACGTTAGTATGTACCTTTGAATGTTAATAAAAAATAAAATTTCTAAAAGATGTCAATTAAATTAGTTTATCAAACAAAAAGTGTTGCTGTATTTGTACTATTTTCAGAACTGTATAGCTGAGCATCAGGATTGGAGGAAATGTCAGGATGAAGTAAAAAAATTTAAGGAATGTATGATTGAACACACAGAAAAAAAACAAAGACATTAATTATAAGATAGTATGATTTAAAGAAAATGTGGTTGATAAGTAGATACATCAGATCTTTGTTCTCTCCTACTTGGAAGGGAGAAGACTGTAAAATGGTATTAGTGGTTCGATCAGACATAGCTATGGGAAAGGGAAAAGTTGGTGCTCAATGCGCCCATGCTGCATTAGAGTGCTGTTATCAGGCCTTAAATAGTAAAGCGAAAAAAGAAATGTTTCAATTCTGGTTACAAGTTGGACAACCTAAGATCGTTGTCAAAATACCAAATGAAAAGGAATTATTAGCCTTGGCAGATAAAGCGCAACGTGCTGGTGTGATCACTGCCATAATAAAAGATGCTGGTAGAACTCAGTTAAAACCAGGCACAATTACAGTTGTTGGTATAGGACCAGATTCTACTGAAATTATCAATAGCCTTACATGGAAATTAAGATTGTTATAAGTTTTTTAAATATAGGAGTGTGTATATATATCAATAAGAATAAAGATTTCCAGTTGACTCGATTTGTTTTATGAAAAATATTTTGTTGGGTGAGAAAATTCGACATTGCATATATATATGTATATATATATATATATAATGCGTCTTAAATATATAAAACAATTTTATATTATTGCTAAGAAACAATTACAAGAATCAAGTGTTTTATATCACGTTTAGATTACTTAAATAAAGTTTTTTCTTTAACGCTCAAATTCTACAACGGCATAACTATAGTAATTTCACACATTATACTAAAATAAATGTTTCTGCTATACAATGCCATTTTCTCTATTTATCTGTGAAAAGCACCTCAAAACACTTAAAAACACAAATTTTTTAAAATAAACTATATATGCTGATATCCACACAATTTTACACGTGTCTAGATAACACTCAAATCCAGACATAATCTTCAAAGCATAATTCTATGACTAAATTTTAGAAAAAAAAAATGCACCAAAAACTAATTTTCTACACTTAAACATAAAAAACACAGTTTCACATATGTGGATATCAGAAAATACATAAATTTATCAAAACAAAAAAAGATCTTACGATGTATATATAAATGTTGAACATTAAAATATGCTTGAGAAAAAATGTATATACAACTATACTATCCAAGTTATTACAAGATTGAGCAATAATAGAGTGACAGAGGAAACTGTACTTATAGCTAGTGTAAACGCACATATTGGATCTCTTTTCTTCTTTTTTTTTTTACAAAGTATATTCCGTGTTCAATAACAGTATATAACTATTGTGTGGAAGAATGTTGTGTTTACATTTTTTTCATTCTTGCATAAAAGTTTTCTTTAGGGTGTTTATATTATTAATATTCTTTATAATACACATCGTAGTGATGTAATAAAAAGTTTCGACAAAGAGTAAAACTATTCGATTGTGTATAAAAGAAGAAATAAAACCAGATATAAAAGTTTTTCATACATAAAATTCTAAAAATTATACTTATTTAATTAACAGCGTCTTTGATCAATCTGAGCGAATGACTGTCTTTTTAATCGATTTTTTTAAATAATTAAAATATTAACAAAATAAAACTTGTACACGTTTGCTAATCTTGTAACAAATCATATATAAATCTTACACAGTTTTTATAAACAACTTTCAAATAATTCGATCACATCATTACAAAAGTTATGCAAGTTTTGTTCTGCACTAATTTTGTTCACAAGCGCGCATGATGATCATATTTTTCGTATAGAATAGACATGGAATAATTACAAGATGTGAATTAAAAGACGTCATCAAAAATGTGTATATACCTTATTATGAGATTTCAATTATCCTTACATGTATAATACAAGATTGTTTTGTACAACCAAAAGGCATATAGAATTGCTATATGTAAGCGAAAATATATATATATATATATGTGTATATATATATATATATGTTTGTGTGTGTGTGTATATGTATGTATATATATTGATGGATTTGTTTTAATTAAGTGTTGATGAATACGATATGAGTAAAAATTGCTGTTTGGAAAAGATACGTTTGTAAAACGAATTTTGTGGATCGGATGAATTTTGTGATTTTATTTTGTTTTATATATATATATATATATATATATATGTATGTATGTATATATATACACGTATTAAGTTTTTATTTAAAGTATTAACAATAATATATATATAAAAATATGTATTATTGAGGCAAAAATTAATGTTTACGTTACGTATCGTTTTATGCTAACGTTGTTGTATCTTTCATATATATATATAGTGTTAAGAAAATAATATTGTTACATTACTTGTATATATGAAGTAGAAATTTTATACTTATGTATCTGTAACATATACTCATATCATATTCACACACAAATTACTTTTCTGTTGTGTTATTTATAAACTTTTTATCACAAATGGCCGAATTTGTGATAACTGATGTGTCTGTGATCATAAGATGTGCATAATATTTCAGTTCAGTACGTCAAAGTGTTATTCATACTATTAGATTGACCATTTGGCAAATGTACATCACGTCATTTGAGTGTTAAAAACATCATTTATCAGTTCAACATCATGGCCTACCAACGGACGAGTATTAAGTGATAATTTTACTGAGTTCTGGTGGCTCTACATAATTATTTAATACATGCGGTGCTTCGTTAAATTCATCGAGTTCATCACCGTTGTCCGCACCTTGCGCAAGTAAAAAGTATTGTTCGCTTCTGGTGGGCCATAATAAATGTGCCATTACGCAATAAGCAAAACAGTCCGCTGAGTACGTTATACCTGGCAAATCAAAAACACGTAGAAAACACGAAATACTAGTAAAAATGAAACGTTTGCATCTTGCCCTAAAGAGTTTCTACTTACCTAATAATAATTTAAATCTCCATAGCGCACTCACTTGAAGCGCTATAAGTGCTATAATCGGTAAATATATGAACCAAACTAACGATGATGCTCCAAAGTGAAGGAGAAAGTTCAATTTTTGAGTATTATGTTCATATGTCATGGTGTTCCGAAGTTCATATAAAAACCATACCATTATGGCACTTCGAAATAACAATATGAACCATCCCGGCCAAGTCTGATATTCGTCTATATCTTCGATGATATCAACTTCCGTCTGCAAATAAAATAGAAATTTTTTTTTTCCACCGGAATGAATTTGCATCTTCCGCAAATCGTGCTGTAAATTACCATGTTCCAGACATATAATAAGATGTGGACAACTCCGTAACAGAACCATATAGCAAACACCAGTGGTTTCCATGTTAATTCCATTCTTGTTACTGCCCATCCTTTGGCAAGTAAGAGCAATAATAACATAAACGATGTCTAAAAATATAACAAAAATATGTACCGTTAAAGATTTTTGTACAAATATCATTAAATATGAAATTTTTAAATGATCTGCACTAATTATCGACACAAATCAATATTTTATACTTATATAATTATTATAAACTGGTAAAATATATTTGAAAAATAATGATGTATGTCTTCTTACCCTTGACAAGATATCAACAATATCACCTGCAATTTCTAATTGCTCGTAGCCCACTCCATCTAGTGCAAATTTCAACACGTGTATCAAGATTAAACATATTGCCATGAATTCTAATAATAAACTAGCTGTGAACAATCTTGTTACAGGATGCTTTTGCAATCTTACTGCATATAATTGCAGTGGCACCAGTATGATGTAACACATGAAAAACAATAAGTACAGTTCGATGGTATTCTGTCTGTCATAGGAGAACTGGTAAGTCAAAGTATTTAGGCCACTGATGTTTGGATTGCCATTCACTAGCCAGATATCATACTCCAACTCGTCTTCCTTGTTATAATGCTCCCATTGGCAAGTTGTCCTGTTTCTGTAGCACGCAACCAGACTCATGTACCAAAATCGTGGCTGCCAGAAATCCTGTATAACATATGTGAATTGATGTCCCTTAACGATATTCCATACAGAATCTTCATCCGGACACACTTTGTCTTGAGGACATGGGACTCGCCTTCAAATACAAAATAGCAAGTCAGTAGCATATCTAGTACCCCGATTGTATATTTTCTGAGCTAAAAACTACTTGTAGGTAAATTATTATGTTTACCTCAAGAAGTCTTGACCTTCTTCATTGCAATGAGGATCGTAGGAACTCTTTTTCAACGTGTTAAACATATATGCGCACGCGGTGCTCTTGTCTCTGAGTGTGCGATTGCCGTAGTACTCTAGAAAATGACCACGATCCAATATCGCCAGAGTGATCGGCATTTCGAAGTTCGATTTCGAGGTCACGTTACCGAATATGTAACCATACGAGTCCTTCTGTCGATGTCGATCGGTCTTCTGGAAGCCGAATTTGATTAGAAATCGGAAGAACTCTCTTGTGTTGAATGTGCCGGTGATGTGGGTTGAGTGCGTGTAGTCGAGTTGCACCGATAAGCAAAGTAGCAGCACGCCGAGAACGCGCACCAGTCGACGATGAGCGATCATTTTCGAAGAACGTGGATACGACTTCCGACGGTCTCGTTGACGCGTACCTCGCCTCGCCTCGAACCTCGAGCTGTCAAGAGTTGACAGGCACCCTCAGCATTTTCTCACACAATATCGCACGCAATTATTACGGCTCGACATTTGGCGTAAAAAACTCTCTCGCACGCGAGATCCGTTGAATTCTCATCGAGCGAACGCGGTCGTAGGATTTTGACGACACTCCGACATTATTGTCTTGGTGATCAACGTTGTCGCTATCACCGGCGATCCGTAATGGTACATACAAAGAATATCGAGTCAGACTGCACTTGAGAAAACGTAACTAACCCACGTTTGTGTACTCTCTTCCTCGCGCTTTGAACTCACATTTTACTATCGATTTCCCCCACTCGAACAAAACTGTCTCGCTTTGAGATAGTTGCTTTCCGACCTCCGACATTCTTTGCAATCGTGCGTTAAAAAATAGAAAAACTTCCACAAAATTCCATGATCAACGCATACATATACATGTCTATATGTGCACATTCCTTTGATCAGCACTGCTGATTCAGCAGATTAACTTTTTGGACAGTTGACAAAAATATGCATATAAAGTCCAAATCGCATCGCAAATATCTCAAAAAAGTATTTCTATTTTTCTCTATATTTAATAAGAAATAAAAAAAACGCTTTGATGCACTTAGCAAAAAGCAAATTAAATTAAATTAAATTAATCTCTCTTAAATTTTCCATCTCAGAGAGATATATAAATTACGTGTTTGACATTCTTGTTCGATAATAGCATTTTTATCGCTCCCGGAGCGGTTTCCTCTTTCCATTTAAATTTTACGCACTGTTTTATAATAGCTTTTTAATAAAAAATACATTTGTATTTAATAAACGTGCGTAACTAAGTATAGCCTCTATCGTATAACAAATTTACGAAATGAAGCTGATTGGCTGTGTTACATTGTGTATCAGTTACGTTCAGAGAGCGCGCTATCAGAGCGTCTATCTTTGTTTTACATCTAAATAACTTACAAAGACAGAACGATGCGATAGCGCGCGCTTCCCAACGCAGCGTGCGTGCGAAACTGAATGTACACAGCGCGTCATTGAATCGCGGAATAAGTGCGGGATCGGAGGGCAAGCGGAGCCGGTTGCTCGCCAACAACCGCCGTACGAATCGTACACGGTCCCGCTTGCTCTCCGATCCCCGCGTCTATTCCGCGATTCGGTGACGCGCTGTGTACATGTACACACCGCCATTTTGACATCTATCCTAACCCGCGAGCAAAAAGCGCGCCAAAACTGTAGGTGTGGTTTTCTTCTCAGAATGAGTTCCCTTCAAAGAACATCGTTATTCTCGCAAACACATTTGCTAGCGTTCGAACTCGATAATAGAAATATTTCAAATCTCATTGCGAAATAATATTGGAACGGAGAATTCCTCGTAAAAAATTATTTTTGGCCCTGAAAAGGGCCGTTGAAGTATTAAAAACTCGAGACGCTTAGGCACGTTCTCCGCGAATTCTGCGCGCCAACTGAATATCCTTGGGCATGATGGTGACCCTCTTTGCGTGAATTGCGCAGAGATTGGTGTCTTCGAAGAGACCGACGAGGTAAGCTTCGCTCGCTTCCTGCAAAGCCATGACGGCCGAACTTTGGAAGCGAAGATCGGTCTTGAAGTCTTGAGCAATCTCACGAACCAATCGTTGGAACGGCAGCTTCCGGATCAGCAATTCCGTGCTCTTCTGATAACGACGAATTTCACGAAGCGCCACAGTTCCGGGACGATATCGGTGGGGTTTCTTTACGCCTCCGGTTGCGGGCGCGCTCTTGCGAGCCGCCTTTGTCGCCAGTTGTTTGCGAGGAGCCTTTCCTCCGGTGGACTTGCGAGCGGTCTGCTTGGTTCTTGCCATTGCGAGCGAACGAGCGAAGGAGCTATAACGATCGGAACGATCTACAGCGGAATGATCGGTCCGGGTGGAACGTTGCGTCTTTATACCCTAGCGGTCCCGTCTGTAGCTCGCTGATTGGTTAATACCGCGGTGGTGGGGATGTATAACGATGAGTTCGACAGTAAAGATCCATAGTAATAGATGGCGCAACTACTGGCATCACACACACAATACCCCGTACTGTTTTCACATATATATAAATTATGTTACACAGTTTTATTTAACTTTTCTACAGATTTTTCTTCGACGCTTTCTAACGATGAAAAATACATCTAATAAATGATAAAAACTAACTCAACGTGTAAACTAAAACACTGATGTCTTAAATCTTAAAATATTAATCTCATGGTATTTTTTTTATCAAACTTTTAGAATTTAATTAAAAAATGAGAACAGAAAGCGCGTAAATAAAGAAGTGAAAATAGAAAAAAGAGATAAATTATAGTTGCACAATAACAGATATCGTTAATTCTGTATCAGACAAATAAATAATAATATCATGTATGGAACAAACATAGAATCAAGTTGCGCTACAAATAATTTAATGCATTTTTAATGTCATTTTTTGTCTTTATTTCTTGTTAAATAATACGAGATAAAACGATAATTTGCAGCATTTGTAGCGTTCTTTTAGACGTTACTTGGGCTGTAAGATTCAAGATTGTTGGAAAATAAGTTTTCTGTAATATATATTGAAAACTATTTACATCTTTAAGAAATATTATATTTATTTTACGTAATTTTTTCTATTTGTGTGTGTGTGTGTGTGAAAAAGAAAGAGAGGAGAGAAAGAATGTACAAATATGTAATAAAAAAAATAATTGACGCAATAGCGCTTATAGCGCGTTTCCAGAACGCAACAATGTAAAACAATATATTGTAACATATAGGTGCATATGTTATTTTGCTATAATTTCCTGGTTTGGTTTGTTGTTCTAACTAGTAGGCCATAAATATCCATATTCTACACTAACTTCCTTATTAACCGTGCTATATATACTGTTTTAGTAATCTGTTTTTTTTAAATAAATTTACTCAGTGTTTGGATTATATTGCTTGCAGGTATTTCTACTGTTTATTTTTTTTGTTAAAAGAGACGCCAGTGACGTATTCATCTGTGTATTTCGGCCTAGTGTATGTATCGCTAAACTAACCAAGTAAGAAATTGCTTATATGAAAAAATTAGAAAAGAAAGAAAAAATGAGAACGAGTGTGTTTTGGAAAACTTCAAAAACGATTTGACAAGTATAAAAATCCCGGCAGAGAATAACGGAATAGGAAGTAACTTTATGAACACATTATTGATCAAAGAAATCGATAAAGTCTGTCTGTCTCTCTCTTTCTCTCTCTCTTCTCTCTCTTCTCTCTCTCTCTCTCTCTCTCTCTCTCTCTCTCTCTCTCTCTCTTTCTGTCTCTCAATGCTTCAATAACCGTTCTGTTGATATCCAAAACACTTTAATATTTTAACTCTCTTAAAGTGAGATCCGAGGAAACACCTGTCCAAATTAACTCAAAATTTGATAGACAGTTTTTTCTCTATTTATCGGAGTCTAATTTGGATTCTTTTTCTTTAAAATCCAAAGCAAAATTCTTAGAAGTCTGAAGCAAGAAAGCATGTCGCTGAATGCATGATTAACACACACACACGGTACAAAACTGTGATCTCAAATTTCAACGTCACACACAAATGTTCTTTGTTAAATGCAAGTTTATCTACCAGTTTTATCGCGACATTATGATTTTTCTTATAAATTGCGATATGCCCGGACTGACGAAGGCAAATCCAAAGAGAAGTTAGGCCTTAAAGCACCCGGCACTTTCATGATTTATTTCTCTCTCTCTATCTCTCTTTTAACAATATTAAGAGAAGGATAATTTATTAGAACAAATCGGATCTGGATATAAGTACGCAGCTGATTTTCTAAACGAGAGAGGGTAGTATTGGTATTGCGACATAAATGATTGGCACAACCTAACCAAATTGAGAAAGGATCTTTTCTTTCCAAACCTTGTAACATCAAATAGCTCAAGCGGCGACAAAACTGAAATTTGCCACAAATTACTTATGTAATATTATTTATTACAACGCAGCGGGATTCTAAACGAAAATTTACGAACAAGCGATTATAACGAAATTTGTCGGAAATTGCATCTCGTATAACCGTAAAATGTATAGACTTTATGAGAGGCATCGGTTTTAAAGAACGGGAAGATTTTTTTCTCAAGAAAAGTATTTTTTTCAGACTCAAACATTGATATCATTTACGCGCTCAAAAGCAAATGATACAAAATATTTACACTTTACAAGTAATATATAACTTAGTAACAATAGCAAAAATTGTTTACAAAACGATATTCGTTCATGTAACTTGAAATACTTTTATTCCCAAAATTATATTAAGTACACAACATGCTTATTGTTTTGTTTATCAAAATATGTGTATTTTATTTGTAACAGTTTGCTATGTTAAGTATGATTAATATGTATGCACGATAGTGTGAACGTCATATGTATACATACGTGTATATGTTGGTAGGTTGCCTCACTTTGTTATTAAATTTAACGCTTAAACTTAGAAATTGCTTTGTAAGTTTACTTACAAACTAAATTCCTAAGTATTTTTTTTCAAACAAAGCAAAGTTTTGCAAGTACAATAAATGTAAGATGATATAGCGATCTATATGACCACGAAAAGATGAAAAATTTTCACGGAATTCTCCAAAAATTATGAGGTTTTGAAAAATTCAAATTAAAATTTTTGTCGTTATTTTATCAATATTTTATATATCAAGCTAACAATGTACTATTCATATTTTCTCAAGAGAAAATGTCTTACACGTCAATGTATACTAAACTGCGCAGTATTTGCTTGTTACCGAATAGATATCTCGAGATTAATTTTTTTATATAGTTAACATAATTTATTGTCACTTTTATAATAGACAATAAAATCTTTATCGAGAAATTCATTGATTTGCATTATATATCATTATGCTATGAAACAACAAGGCCATTTGCCTTGTACATCTTAAGAGCTCGTGTATTCCGAGAGAGCGCGAAATAAATTTCTTATTTTCGGAATAAAAGCTGATACCAGATGGAAATAATTGTTTGAAAACTCGAAGCTGTCCTGTTGGAACATCTTTTTGTATCGATAACACTGAAAATGTCAAAAGAAAAGCTTGATTTTCGTGTTTTTCCGCGACCTATGCTATCGCCACAAAAAGACACGAGCGTCGAAATTCGATTGTAAACAAAATACAGCGATAACACGAATATTTAATGTATAGTAAACTAAAATTGCATACACATAGCTATACATTTATATATTTTTCAATGTTTAATTCTTATTAGTTTGAAAGAAATAACGTCGCAAAGTCACGGTACGTCTACCGCTCCGTCATTTTCCACTAAACTAGCGGACCGACATAGTAGGCAGGCCTCTCTCCATGGTCCGCGCGCCAAGTACTTACGTTGTGGCTCACGTCTTCTATCAATGCTCTGACTATTCTACGTTTTGTGGGATAATTTCGATACACGGACAAGTTTTGTACGCAAAGCTAAGTGAAAATGGAAGACAAAGCGAATACGGGAAGCGCGGCTGTTGATGCTGCTGAGAATACTCCAGCTTCTCCTAAGAAGACCGCCAAAAGTAAGGCTAAGACGGCACAGGCAAAGAAAACATCACGACCAGCAACTTCCGAGATGGTGACAGCAGCCATTAAGGAATTAAAAGATCGCAAAGGATCGTCTCTTTATGCCATCAAGAAGTACATCGTGGCGACGTATAAGGTAGATGCTGATAAGGTTGCGCCGTTCATAAGAAGATACTTGAAGACCGCTGTTGAGTCTGGCACCGTCGTGCAAACCAAAGGCAAAGGTGCTTCCGGATCTTTCAAACTCTCGGTGGATAAATCGAAGTCGAAACCTAAGGTAAAAGTGCTTCGTGCTCCCAAACCTGAGACTAAGAAAAGTCCGTTGGAAAAGAAGACTGCGCGAAAACCAGCTGTCGCGAAGAAACCTGCTGCTGTTAAGAAAGCCGCCGAGAGTCCTAAGAAACCCGCAGCAAAGAAAACTGCTGCCAAGTCTGTCGGTGAAAAGCGCAAAGCTGCTGCTGCTGCTAAATCTGCTCCAGAACCTAAAAAATCTCCATCAAAAGCAAAGAAAACCGGAACTGCACCCGCAGCGAAGACCAAGAAACCAAAAATTAAAGCAGCGAAATCTGTGAAAACCGCTTCAAAGAAATAATTACAACGAGGGAATCTTCGTGTGCATTTTACAAATGGCTCTTTTCAGGGCCACAAATCTTTCTCAATGAGGAACAATATCCGAAGTCGCAATTATTTAATTACATAATTCCTATTTACATTCCATTTATTTTATTCCTATTTCCCAACAAAATCATATCTAATTCCAGCACACAATATTATGACAATAAGTCCTACACTTAATGGTAAACAGAAATATAAAAAACATTCTTTTAAATATCTTTGAAATATTTTCAGTTTAGAGATTATAAACATTAAACAAAATATCTATTTAATAAACTTAAAAATTGATTTAAATTTACATTATATTCAACATACCACTACTCACACGAACCTTATTAAATGTTCATTAGCATTCACACTTAAATATCTAATAGATGTCTGAGGATGTTTCGTGGAGTTTTGTTCTATGTGAGTATGGTAAAATTATATTGATACAAGTCGTCTAACAATGAGCTGATATGCACGTGTGTTGATATAAATGCAAGTTAAAGAATTTCATTCAGACAAATTCTTTTTCTCTCTCTATTAATATTGTGTGTATCCTTAACTAGTAAGTTTCTTTTTCGGATGTTTTTACAAAAACAGTATATGATTTTTTAATTGTTATAATACCAAATTTGAATTAATTACAATCAAAATCAATAATTAATCGAGATGTTCATTAAAATTTGACACTGATAACCTCTAGTATTATGATATACAATCGGAAAAATTAACAGTTTTATCAATTTCCATAGTTTCTCTTTTCGCACTGACATTCTACTACACATGTCGTTATTTGGAAATATGCGCATGCGCGTAGATTATGTATGTCGTGTAAGGACTAAGGCCTGTTCTACAATACAGTCGTAAGCCGTAAGTCGTAAGAAATTGACCAATCACAATCGATTATTCTTCTGTGATTCATCTGTGATTGGTCAATTTCTTACGACTTACGACTGTATTGTAGAACAGGCCTAAGGCTGCGTTCCGATATTTACTGCCAATACTGGAAATCTATAGTACCTATATAACGTGGAATATAGATTTTTAGTACTGGCAATATCGGAAGTAAAGCCCCTTGCACAATGGACGGAATAGCGATAGCAATAGAAATAACACCAGTTTTAAAGAGTTTATATTCATAAATAACGATAGGAACAGCGGAATCTAACATACAAAAATACACATGTATCAATGCGGATCAGAAAACGGAATAAGCAATAGCAAGAAATTTTCCAACGAGTTTGAATTCTGTGTTTATTGCTTATCGCTATCACTATTCCCTCGCATTGTGCAAGAGGCTTAAGTTAAATTCCGATATTTAACTGCTAGTAATGAAAATCTATAATACTCATGATGTTAAATGATTCACAGTATTTTTTGATCGTAAAAACAAAAAAAGTCAAAACTATCAGCTAGTGTCTATTAAAAACTAGATTTGTTATTGCAAAAAAGTAGATTCAGAAGTTTTACGAAAGTCTAGTTTTTGCAATCGCATTTCAATTGTTAGTTACTAAAAGTACATGCAATATTAAAGGAACTGATCAGTCTACCTACAATATGTAAAATTAAGTGACAAAATTAGTTTTTATTTATAACGTAAATGAACATATAAAGACAAAAAGATTTCATTGTATGTATTGCTCTCCAAGATAATTTCCATCATATGATAAATTGGTGGCCCTTAAAAGGGCCGTTATATTTTTAGCTCCATAAACTTAACCACCAAAACCATACAAGGTTCTTCCCTGACGCTTCAGAGCATACACCACATCCATTGCCGTTACAGTTTTTCTCTTGGCGTGCTCGGTATAAGTAACAGCATCACGAATAACATTCTCGAGGAAAACCTTTAAGACACCTCGAGTCTCTTCGTAAATCAATCCAGAAATACGCTTTACGCCACCACGTCTCGCCAAGCGACGAATAGCTGGTTTCGTGATACCCTGAATGTTATCACGTAAAACTTTTCTGTGACGTTTAGCGCCTCCTTTTCCCAATCCTTTTCCTCCCTTTCCACGGCCAGTCATCTTGAAATGCGATAAAAATTCCCAAAGATGCTACACAGCACAGGAAGTCTCAAAGCGGAATGTGATGTTCGCTTTCGAGCGGAGCCTTTTATATACACACTCTGGCATAACTATTCCCACCACCGCGTCACGAACCAATCACCAACACTGTTGTGCTCGTCAGTGAAGAGTGGGGTTCACGTTTACATTACAACGTTTCAAAGCTTTTGTAGCGTTACGTGAATTTTGTATATATATAGAGTAAAAGCAGATAAAAGTATTAACTTATCTTTTTATTGAAAACTATGCTTTTGTTTATACATTCATTCAGCAGAGCTGCTTTGTAGCAATCAAACGTAAGTGGCTTTTAATTTTAGAGCCAATAAATCAACGTTGAGTTAACAAGACAATTCAGCAATTGTTCTGTCGAACTCAGCCTACTTCTTTCGATATTCACTGACAGTATGGAAATCTATAATGTCATGTAAATTATTTTGACATTAAATAACAGAACACAGTCTACGCTGGCTTCAACAATTAGGTACTTTTTATACTAACCAAGACCTAATATTGGGTTTGTTTTATTTCCCTGCACTGGCTGCACTAGTTCGCAGTCTCTATCTTTTTCCTTCTAATATAAATAAAAAAAGATAGAGACTGCGAACTAGTGCAGCTAGTGCAGGAAATAAAACAAACTTATTATATGATGTATTGCACTTCTTCGCAGAATAAGGGCCGAAGCACAGACTTCTGCATAATACCTACCCTGTGTTCAGGCTGTGTTCAGTTAAGCAAGATGGAACGAACTAATGCAGGAAATGCAGGAAATACAGGAATTCATTAGTTCCAATTCCTGTATTTCCTGCATTTCCTGCATTAGTTCGTTCCATCTTGCTTAACTGAACACAGCCCTAACGCATAAGACATAAGAAAATCAACCAATCAGATCCTTCTGTGAGAAATGAAGATGGAAATAAAAAACTGATTGATTCTCTTACGTCTTGTGCATTATATCTTTATGCATTAAGTATATGATCAGAAAATCTTATACACTCGCAAAACAATTTATTTTGCTAAGCTTTGACAAGTAAACGTTTTTTGTGTCTTCTTCATATATAATTAATGTTATAACTTTTCTTCTTACGTGGATTATATATTATGTACCTCACAGATAGCCAAATGTGAAAACTCAATATAAAGCAAATCATTGTATAGATTAAGTTGCTCGCCAATTGCTGTTGTGTGTTGTTTTTATTTAATGCAACGAAAATGTTTTTGTCAATTCAGTATCAATATGCTGAGTTTTATTATCAATCAATTGTTGTAAGCCAATGTTTATGACATGTGAGTCAGCAATATGTGAGCAATATATGAGCAATAATTTTTATTCATAAGTTGAGAAAAATAATATAAGTATTATTGCCGATGAGTTGTTGAGAACTTGCTGTTATTATATTTTGAAAACTGTTGCTGGCAAGAATATACTGAAAAGAGGATACATCCTTTTGTTACATTGCTGAAAACATACGAGTAATATTTGTGGCAAGTTGCCAACAACTTGCACTCAGTTGGCTATCTGGGTACATATATGTATATACATTAAATACATAAGGATTGTTTAGTTTTTTATTCATGTATTCCCACGTGTAAATAATACATAATGCATATTCCTACGTGAATAATACATAAATTGAAAAACAGAGTTTGTGTGTATAAAAAGATAATTTTCCAGAACATGGTATACTTGTTTAAACAATGATAAAATGTATCATGCTTGCTTATCATATTTTGTGCAAAGTAACGTAAACACGAAATACCATAATGAACTTTATGTCTGCATAAAAATATAAATTATTTACGAAACAAACGCAGACACACACCATATTATCAAGAGTTAAACACATTTACATCATTTAATCACTAAACTATAAATTTGTTTAATAAAAACTCTATCTTGAAAATAAGGTTGCAATTTTATTTCAACTATTAAATTTTGAAAACTTGCAAGATTTCTTCCATTGTATATATACATGTGATTTACAACAGAACATTTTCTGTGTGAAGAAAAAATAGAAAGTATCCTGAACATTCGTAATAGGAACCAAAGATATTCTGACGCAAAAATTATTTGTGGTCCTGAAAAGGACCGTTTTTTTTTTTAAATCGTGATTTACTAAAAATATCACGAGATTATTTAACCACCAAATCCGTACAAAGTTCTTCCTTGACGTTTGAGAGCGTAAACGACATCCATAGCCGTTACAGTTTTTCTCTTAGCATGTTCAGTATAAGTAACCGCATCACGAATGACGTTTTCGAGAAATACTTTCAGAACACCTCGTGTTTCTTCATAGATCAGACCAGAAATTCTCTTAACTCCACCACGTCTAGCTAATCGACGGATAGCTGGTTTAGTGATGCCTTGGATGTTATCACGAAGAACTTTCCTATGGCGTTTAGCGCCTCCCTTTCCCAATCCTTTTCCTCCCTTACCGCGGCCGGTCATTATAAAGATTTGATCGTAAAATCGCAAATGTACGCGACGCAATCCCTACCTAAGCGAAAAATGCAATGCTCATATCCTGCGAGCGCTTTTTTATATGTACGATATAGATGTCCCCACCACTGGTCTACTGACGAATCAGCGACGTGAAGCAGAAGAGTGGTAATGTATTGTGCAGTCAAAATCTCACTGCAAACGTTTCAAAACATCATTCTATCTTTATTTCTCGTTAAATGTAGAATAAAGATAGAATGATGTTTCAAAACATCTGCAGTAAGACTTTGACCGCATTTGTAGTGACGCGCAATTAGAGAACAATGAAATCCAACATAAAAACTCTTAAAGCATTTGAAAATAATTTAGTGCACGACAAGTTAACAAAGTTTAACATTTTACTTCTACGAAAGTAAAAGATATATAGTATCAGCACGATGGAGAATGTGAAGAACAAAACTGCAATGATTACGGGAGGAGCTACCGGATTAGGCTACAAATATGCTGAAATATTGCTAAAATATGGTGCAAGAAGTGTTGCTATAATTGATTTGCCAACATCAAACGGTCAAAATGCAGCGACTACGTTGGAAAATGAATTTGGAAAAGGTCGTGTTATTTTTGTTGCAGCTGATGTAACCGATAATTTGGAAACAGCATTTAAAACAGTCATCGATAAGTTTAAAACACTTGATATTCTTATTAACAACGCTGGTATCATGAACGAACATCTCATAGAGAAAACTATTAATATCAATGTGACTGCATTGATTCGCAGCTCTTTTTTGGCTCTCGACCATATGGGAAAGCATAAGAGCGGCAATGGTGGTGTAATCGTAAATATTTCATCTATATTTGGATTGTCGACGAATGGTTGCCTACCGGTATATTGCGGCTCGAAATACGCTGTTCTCGGATTTAGCCAGGCTTTGGCTGAATTATACGACACTACCGGAGTGCGAATTCTTATAATGTGTCCAGGTATTACACAGACAGCTATAATCGAGAATACCGAACACAGAATTTGTAATATCGCAAATACTACTTCAGCGCAATCATTATATACGTTACCAACACAAACAACTGATAACACAGCATCTGCAATGTTAAATCTTATCCAAAAAGGTAAAAATGGTGCGGTTTGGGTTAGCGAAAACCGTCAACCACCATATGCTGTGGATTTTCCTCATTATTCTAAGCGATCTTTGCCTGTATAAAACTGTGATATCTTGCTTTATTCTTTCATTTAGTCGAGGGTTCTAATGTATACATACAAATGGCATATATATATATATATATACACATAAGAATAGACATGTGCAATTAAATAAAAAATAAAAAGGTGGTAGTTAAAAAATGAGTTTATTTACGAATGTATCTTTATGAAAAATGTCATTCCCATCTTTAATTTTAGTATTTAGAATACCTGCTTTAAAAATTTCCTTTTAATCCTTAGAAGTTATATGAAAATTATGTTAATGCTATTACAGGTGACATTTTATTTTCTATTATTCTATTTATTTTGGAAATAAAAAAAATCGTCAAAGTTTAATCGTGTAAATAAATATTAAAAAATTATTGTTGCCTGTGATTATTTTTTAATAACATTAACACGAAATTCATGAGGTTAAATTGCATCTTTCTTTTGCAAACATATCTGGATTCATTCTGATTGTGATGCAAGTTTCAATGTTGTAATTGAAGTTATCGATTGGCATACATCACTTTTAAAACTGCAATAGTTCTTATAAACTATAAATATTAAAATTATCTCGAATTTAAACAAAGCTAACTAAATTGTGTAAGTTTTAACATATATGAATATTACAAGTTAACAACTATCGTGTTTTAGATAATGACAGATAAAAAACATTTCTGAAGCAACATTGTGTATTTATGATTTTAGGACACTAATCCATAGATAACAGCATAATGATTCTCATTTCGATTTGATAACATGATTTTCTTAGAAATACTATATTATGTCGCGATATAAATAAAAAGACTTATTTAAATGTTTTACTAATTTTAGGTTTTTTTCAGTTGATGTTGAAATTTTATCTACTTTTAATGTTAATGTATATACACACATGTTGATTTTTTTTTACATGATTCTTGTTGTATCTTAAATTACTTTATTATAAGTACGTGTCACATCCGTAACAGATATTACATATAGTAAATATTCTATTTGAAGCAATATTATCGAGGTAACATTAGTGTAACTAAATTTGAAATTCTATAAACCCAATATGTTGTCTACAAATCCATATATTTGACTTCTTATTTACATAAAACTGATAAAATAAAAATATTAACAAAGTAAAAAGGTTTCTCTCTGTAAAGATATATTAACATGTACGTCCAAAGAATTTATTAATACACAGTAGATTCTTTACTTGTTGAGAAATAGTAAAAATGTTATGTTAATAGTACAAATTTAAATATGACACAATAAACAATCTTTTAATAAGCACCTCAAAAAATATACATAAAACTAAATATCTCTTATTTATAAAGGTCGCATAAAACAAAAAAGTATAAATCTCGTTTTAAATCATTAGTCATTCTCTCGTACTTTTTATAAAAAAGATTTAAGGAAAGCACAGTTAAAATCATCTTTCTATTTAAGCGCAGAAATATTGGCAAGTCAAAACAATAAATAAAAATTAAGAAAAAACCACAGATAAGTAAACTGTTCTTTATATGATCAAATTATAATCATAATAATTTTCTAATGTTAAATTTATTGACATTTCAAAGCCATCTTAATCTTCACGGACAGCAAATCTACATACGGACGATGCAAAGTTACACACACGACTAAAAGTGTTCGCTCGTTCAAATTGAGTATTTATACCACTGTGCAGTGCTTCGTGCGTCCAATGGCGTGTTAGGAACATAACGATTGGCTGTGACGCGTTACACGATTGGTGCGCCACCACTGTCGTTTAACCGTATATAAGGACTGTATTTCCGTGTTTTCTTCATTCGCCGAGGTTTCGTTCTGACGATCTGATCTACGGTGCTGTACGAAGACTTTGGTTAGCCATGCCACCTAAAGCAAGCGGTAAAGCAGTGAAGAAAGCTGGGAAGGCGCAGAAGAATATCAGCAAAACCGATAAGAAAAAAAAGAGGAAGAGGAAGGAAAGTTACGCCATTTACATCTACAAGGTGTTGAAACAAGTACATCCGGACACTGGAATCTCCAGCAAAGCTATGAGCATCATGAATAGCTTTGTCAACGATGTCTTCGAGCGCATTGCTGCCGAGGCGTCGCGTTTGGCGCACTACAATAAAAGATCAACGATTACTTCCCGGGAGATCCAAACTGCTGTTAGGCTTCTGCTACCCGGAGAATTGGCCAAGCACGCCGTGAGTGAAGGCACCAAGGCTGTTACCAAATACACCAGCTCTAAGTGAACAATTTCACTTCGAAATAAACGGCCCTTCTCAGGGCCACAATTATATCGATTACGTTTGACATCCTCGCGCATGTTTTTTTTTTTTAAATAAAAATTATTACTATATACTTCGACATTAATCTTGAGATTATGTGTAAAAAGAATTTAACTTCTCATGAAACTAGAAATTTGAGATTGCTTTTTTTTTTTAATACATTCGACAAGTTCTTTTATTAAATATCCTTATATGTATAAAAGATGCACAGAATTCTCAATATTAAATCGTATCAAAAAATTTTTTAGTAAGAAATAAGAATTTATAGCGTATAGGAATAAAAATTATACAAAATAAAATTATTGAAAATAATGCTTAAAACAAAATGAATACATAACATGTACTTGACAATTAGAAACGTTAACAACATAAAAGTGTAGTGATGTAAAATCATAAACGAGAGACGTTTTAGCAAAAAAAAATAGTATAGTACAGATAGATATGGATATATAGTTCAAAAAGAGAAGACACAAAAAACAAATCTATCTTAATTTGACTGATATACACAAAAACTTAATTAATTTTGATAAATTGTATAAGTTTTTGGTGGAGCGCCATCTTCCTGTGTATAAAAGAATCTGTAACATATATAATGAATCTCGGTAATTGATAATTCTTATGTATAGTGTGATATTTTTACACAGCGTGTATAGAAGTGACACTATGGATGTGACACATTGAAATATAAATGTGTACATGTATATGTTTACGTGCCAAAAATGTATAGTTTTATTGAGGTAAAGGTAAAGGTTAGGACGATTTACAGACAAGACAGTAAATGTGGCAAATATCAAGCATGTATTTAAATGTGTAGGTTTTTTTTAGGTCTAATCGATACAGTTGTGTATTTATAGGTTAGTCACTCATAGATACAATATTAAATAATTTATTCTCACATTTACTTGCATAAATTATTAAAATGCTGAGACAACGACATGTCAATGTTAAAACAGTCAAGGAACTGGATGCATTTCCCAAAGTACCCGAATTATATGTTGATAAAACTGCAGTTGGAGGAACATGTGAGTTGATAAAATTATTGACAAAATATATTCAACTTAATCATTGTATATATACACATATATATAATCACCTATGTTATTGAATATATTTCTATTTTTTTTTCTAGAATATTGTTTCTATATAAATTTTAATCAATATGTTTCTTCTGTTTCAGTTTCTATTTTTACGATTCTTATTATTGCATATTTAATAATAGCTGAAACAAACTACTTCCTTGATAGTAGATTACAATTTAAATTTGAACCAGATACCGACATTGATGCAAAATTGCAAATTAATATCGATATAACTGTGGCAATGCCTTGTGGTCGTATTGGTGCGGATGTTTTAGATTCTACAAATCAGAATATGATAGGTCAAGACACTTTACAAGAAGAAGATACATGGTGGGAACTAACGTCAGAACAAAGAGCACATTTTGAATCTTTGAAACATATGAATTCATATTTAAGAGAAGAATATCATGCTATTCATGAACTCCTTTGGAAATCTAATCAAGTTGTTCTTTATAGTGAGATGCCAGAGCGGTATGTATGGATCATAACATGCAACTTTATTATTTTAAATAATGTGTATATATATATATATATATTTGTGTTAAAATCTATATGAGTAAAATCTTTTTTGAAATTATTTAGATTATTCAAACCTGATTATGCACCAAATGCCTGTCGTATTCATGGCAGTCTAAATGTAAATAAAGTAGCAGGAAACTTTCATGTAACAGCTGGAAAATCACTATCTTTACCACGTGGACATATACATATCTCTGCATTTATGACTGATCGTGATTACAATTTTACTCATAGAATTAATAAATTCTCTTTTGGTGGACCTAGTCCAGGAATTGTGCATCCTCTTGAAGGTGATGAGAAAATTGCAGATGACAGTAAGTTTGCTTTCAAAATTAACTGACTATTTCTTCTCAAAATATACAAAATTAATGAATGCATTTTCTTTTCTAGATATGATGCTGTATCAATATTTTATCGAAGTTGTTCCCACAGATATCAGAACATTGTTAAGTACATCCAAGACATACCAGTACAGTGTCAAAGATCATCAAAGACCAATTGATCATAACAAAGGATCTCATGGAATACCTGGAATTTTTTTTAAATACGATATGAGTGCGCTTAAAATAAAAATAACTCAAGAACGTGATACAATTTTCCAATTTTTAGTGAAATTATGTGCCACTGTAGGTGGAATTTTTGTTACAAGTGGTAAGTCTACATATATATATATATATGCAACGCAAATTTTTCCAGTAAGTATATCAAGTAATTTAAATATAATTAAAATTTACAGGTTTAATTAAAAATGTTGTGCAAAGTTTTTGGTACGTTGTGTGTTGCAAGTTTTTAAAGTCTAGAAAAACTGACTATCATAACTCACAAGTTCCATCACATTCCATGAATTATCGAGCGACTGATACCATAAATTTACTTGATATTTCAGCCTCTCAAAGTATTGATATCATGTTAAAACCTCAATAAAATGTCATAACATAACTTAATCTGTATGTCTCAATGTGTATATAATATAATTTATACTTCTGTTACAAACTTCTTTTTAATTCTGTACTTACTCAAATTCATTTTTATGAAAATTTAAGACAATTGTTCTTATATTTTATAATAGGAGTATAGTAGCAGATGTGCTTTTGCGTAAAATAAACATGTATATAAATCTATTGTTCTGCAACGCAGCTAATATGGCGACGTTCTAGACGCTCATTAGTCTAAAATGATCTTAGAGCATGTGGTTAGGGAGATAGAAGGTAGGTAAAATAAGAACTGCAAGAAGATTTTACACATTTATTTTTAGAGAATATGTAGAAGTACGTGCATATTTTTCCGTCCCACTTTGCACAGACTGCGGACTGTCAGATACAGTAACATGTAATGTTTCTAGTGTGGTTAAAACATATAGCACATGTATGTTTAACAATTGATAACTAAAATTAATTTTAAGACTAATCTTTCAAAAATTATTTCATGTTATGCGCAACAAAATATCAATCGCGCATCATGAGTCGTCGTGTGATCGGTTTCCTAGAATGGAATCGGAAATCGGAACATGATATTGCTGCATTCTTCCACAATTTCAAACGGCCGAACGTGACGTCACGCAGTTTTTGCTAAGGAATCGGACAACTTCTGTTGTGGACCTGTTTCAGTCCATCCATAAATATATAATAGTTGCATTCTCCAAAAAAATTAAAGCCTTATTTTATGTTCTGTTCAAATTTGATACCAATGCATAGATGCCAGATCGTGCAGGACAGCAACGAGAGCAGCGAGGGGCAGAGCCCCCACCGCTCAGCTTCTCGATGCTACGCACACAAGCGAGAACCGCGTACGTGTGCGTGACGGACGTCACGCTCGGTTATATGTATAACTTATTATACATATAATAAGTTCAATTACATATTATGTATATAGTTTTGTTAACAAATATATACA